ACTTGGGACGAAGACGGCTTCACCGACATCCTACGATCCACCTTCTTCGACGTGAATCTGGAGATTGACTACACCGTTGAAGACTACTTGGAGAGGATCCTAGACACTTTGGTGGAAGCTATTGACGAGCACTTCGAAGGCATCGAGTGGAGGATCTCCACCTCTCCCTAATGAAGGTTTCTCTTTTCCCTTGCATCTTATTCCTTTTAGTCTAAACTTTCCTGGGTTTGATTGCAGTCACGACGGACTCTTCCACCTTGCTCTTGCTTAAGCTTAGTAATCGTAGGAATTGAGAGAACCTCGATGCATCCTAATTCTCATTGTTAGACTAGGGATTATTTTGAAGACTATTACTGTTTGTTGTGTTATTTTTCTTATTTATTTTGGAAGCTTCAAAGCTCTCAGCATGTGATGGGATAAAGGCCGGATAACCCCTGATTATTTTATTTCGTTGTTCGAATTTGCCCGTAACTTTATTCTTGAATTATTCTAATCATAAGTTGTACAAATCCAAGTGAATTAAGCATTGCATACGTAGTTCTGCATCAAGTAAGCAGTTACAAATCAAAAGCTTAGGCAAGTTAAGATAGATATAAAATTATCACAGAAAAAACAAATATGTAGTAATATAATCTCATGGTTAATATTTAGAGAGTTCACTATGAGTTACCATGCTCACTCACACTCAAAGTACGGCTTAGCGGAGAAAGGTCTTCAGCACACCGAACGATGCCACGAGGACGGTCGCAACGCCAATGGTCTTAATCCACGGAAAGGTCGACGGTGGTGGAGAGGTAGCCACGAACGGAAAAGGAGTAGATCTCCTAACGAGATGCCAAGGCGTCTTAGGCTTTTAAAGATCAATCGTATGCGCTAAGCAGTAGAGGATGCGCTTGACGTATCTTTCCACTGTCTCGTCGTACTCCTAATCGGGGTCGTAGAAAGGAGAGAGAAGAATGTCAATCTCCCCACGATCGTTGTAGGCGAAACCGTGATCAACCTCGGGATCGGCCATGCGTCATTGACATGAGATGGTGAGGGAGAGCACGAGGGAGTAGGCAAAGAGAGCAAGGGATGAAGGAGAGAGGTGGCGGCTTGAATAGAAAGCAGGGAGAGGGGCCGGTGGCTCCAAGGGGAAGGGGACTAGGGTTTGAAATTAGATTTCAGTAAATCTGAAATTTATTTCAGATTTAATTAGTTTGGAGGGAATCAAATTGAAAATTGAATTCAAATTCAATTTGGGTTGAGGCCTCAATAGGAAAGACAATGGGGAAGCCCATTAATGGGGGCCGGCGGGTTCAAGAGAGAGGGGGAAGGTTTAAATTCCAAACTTGAAATTAATTTCAGGAATTGAAATGAAATTGGGGAGAAATTAATTTGAAATTTGATTTCAAATTAAGGGGTCATTAATGCCTTGATTGGGGAATTAATGGGAGAAGGCCAAGCATGAGGCCGGCGGCTTGGAGAGAGGGGAAAAAGGGATTAGGGAGGATTTGTGCTCTTTCCAATCAAGAAATGACAACGAGGCGGGGAAATAATGACTCTGCCAAAATTGAATTTCAAATAGATTCAAATTTAGAAATTTTCCTTATTTAGATTTCGCAAATAAAGAAAGTTTTTGAAATTTGAAATTCAAAACTCATAAAGTCCCTCTTTAATGCTAGAGCCAAATTAGGAAACCATTATGTTGATTGAAATCATCATAATGGTTGGTGAAGGAGGAGGTGGCCGGCGGTCAAAGGAGGAGGAGTTTCTGTCGGGTGGAGGTGGGCTTGGGTGGTGGTTGGACAGGTGGTGGAGCTAGGGAGGTTGGTAGGTAGATGTGGGAAAAAACAAACGGCGGAGAAGAAGACAAAATGACAAAATAAAATGAAGCCACGAGTCGCGGATTCTTTCAACGACTGGTGGGTAATGCACTCGCTCTCCTTGAGCTCAATCATCCTTCTCTAGCCCTCATGCAAGAAGAAGAAGAAGAAACCAAATTTCATTAATCAATCATCATCTAATACAAAAGAGAATGGCCATATATATAGGGCTCACAATGACAAATAAACAAAAGGCAAGAATGTCCCTCGGGCTACAATAGTGACCAACTACCCATAAGGGCAAAAACGGAAATAATAATGACTAATACATAAAATTCATCAAAAGTAAATACTCTCATCGTGGCCATCGATCTCCTATGTCGCCTCTGATAGACGCGTTTAAACCTCGTATCGATGTCCCCATCAATATCTTGTTGTGAAATAATATTACAATTATAAACAAGATAAAAAAAAAAATCACTAGTGATAGGTATTATCCCGAGATTCATTTATGAATTAGTTGAGATAGATTCATGTTATTGTCCGCTCAAACGCATTAATTATGCTATACAGTTGTATCAGAATAAACTGACAACTTAGCATAACATGAACTATCAACCATTGTCTTAACCCTAAAATGTGCTACATCAACTCTATCCAATGAAATGAGTAAACTAGCACATGAAACATAATGTAGAAAACATAAAATTTTAAAATATAGTCCTAGCAATCAATGCTGTATTAGGGTTTTTCAAAGTTCTACCTATATTTAATGAAGACAATTTCAACAGCTTACGAAACTATCTTCTATTTAATTGTGGAGACGAAAATTAATACTAACCACTTCAAGTGTCTGCAACAATTTGCCAAGCTGGTGCGCATGCTGCTCAAGATCATTTATACCATCAAGCATGATGTACTCGATGAAAATTTTCCGTTGACTGGATGAAATCACCAGTAATGAAATTTGACCAAAAATGTTACGCATGCATTGCAAAGGACATGGAAATACCATATTTCAGAACTAACCTCTTTTCTTGATAGGCATGCAGAGCTTCCATAAGCCTTCCAAGAGGAAAAGCTCTTGCAGAAGGCATTATCTGACACCGGATATCCTGGTCAGGTGCATGCAGTGATACAGCAAGGTTGACATTCGGAAGAGTGTCATGAAACTTGTTGATGGCATGTATGATCCCAACCTGCAAATTTTATTCCAAAATATCACATGTAATGTTAAACATAAGAAATATTTAAACTAGTTTTGTTTTATCAGATAAAGTGCATTCAAACATTTATGTCAGCTTGTTTCATGGCAAAATCAGATATTTGAGTTAGCTATATCCGTTAATATAAGTAGTAAATCATATATTTTTGGGTAAAACTTATTCATCTCTAACATAAACTGAACTTACAAATAAATAATCATCATTAGCCTTATCCCAACTATATCTGTTTGGCTTTAATCATCTTTCTCTATCTGTTCATTTTGTTCATGTTGCATGAGGTGCAAATTCTATTTAATGCATTTTTTTTGTATGACTTCAATCCACATTACCTTTAAGCTAAGCATTCATCCTATTTGCTTCTTTGAAAAATGCAGCCTAGTTCAAAAGAAATGGGAATAAAATCTAGGGCTTAAAGGTACTAATTACAAAAGTACCCTTGATTTTTTGATACAATCCTAACAATAAAGTTGCATCCATTCACCACCTACTCCCTTATATCACCCAAGAACCCTAGAAGCTTATTGACAAGCAAGTTGCAGCAAAGCGACAAAGCAACCAATAGGAAGAGCTTCCTTGGGACATAGAAGTCAAGAAGAAACCTTTATCTACATGCTTGAGTCATAAAAAAAAAGTTGGTGTTCAGCACTAAACCTTTACTACTGTTTGTTTCTCTACCAATGGCTTTACAACCAACCACCGTCTAAGCTCCAGTCCTACAAACCAACCAAGCTTCCACTCTCAAATACTCTAACTAAGCCATAAACCAACAAAATTGCTTTCCCCCGATTTAAAAGGTTAGAATGAACAAACCTTGAGCCTCACCTACTGCCACTAATAAATTTTAATCACGCACAACTACCGCAAAATAAAAAATGAAGCACTATAGATATACTACTGCCAGTGTGCAGGACAGAGAAGCATTGCAATCACCAAATCAGCATTAAAGAGTTCAAAGAGGGAAAGATCATGCAAGTAAAGATATGCAAATGATAAATTTACTCCTTTAACTTGAATGAAAAAGCCATTCTACAGGCACATTTTAGAGATTGAAGCTAGTTCATAATACCTACAGTTGACACAGTAATTCTTTTAGGTGATAGCTGAAATGGGGATCCCATCATGATCTGGATAGCTTCCACTACTGCGGTAAAGTTGTTTAATGGCTCCCCCATTCCCTGGTTACATTGAAATAATTTGAGTTAAGCCAGTGAAAACCTTCCACAAGATATTCCGCAAGTCTTCTAATTTTAGCTCTTGAAACAGATACTGGCAATTAAATAAGGAAAGTGCTGAAATAAATTGAAGAGAAATGTATTGCCAAAAAAAGAGCTTTGCACTAAAAATCAAGTGATAGACATGTCAAAATAAGTCATTTAATCCTACACCCAGCAAAAAGCATAAAACTTGATGCACAAATCTGTACCATGAAAACAACATTGCGTATATCTGAGAAGCGAGAGGCATGGACTAACTGTTCAACAATCTCTCCAGGTGACAGATTATTCTTAAAACCCATGGTCCCAGTTGCACAGAATTTACAAGCCATCTTACAGCCCACCTAAAACATAAAATAGATATGTAAAACTCATAATCAATTGATTTCATTCTGAAACCAAGTATTTATTAGTACAACGGAAGGGAAAAATATTAAACCTGTGATGAAATGCACAGGGTTGATCTTTGACAACCAGGACGACGTTTTCCATCATATTTCCCAAGTGTAGGGTCATACCGCATTATTACTGCTTCCACCAAATTTCCATTCTAACCAATAAAAACTACATGAAATAAGCTTCTTATGATTCAACTTTAAAGCCACGTAGTTTATAAAAACTCTAACAAGACTACAATATTTATTAGAATTCATATGCATCAATTAACTACGTAGTGGGGACAAAGGCTTGATGTTGTTGTTGTAGTTTTATGCATCAATTAACTAGTGATTGAACATTCCATGTGAGCACCTCAATTTAACCACATGAGATACGGAGCTAGAACAATAGTTAGTTTGCCTTCATTATAACTTGGTTATTATAAGTTCAAATCACAAAATGCCATTTCAAACAGATTAAGTTTGCCTATATCAAACTCTTGCCAAACCTTACATTGGTGAGAGACTTCAGCACTTAGCATTCAGTTTAAATGAACCATGGTCTTAACAATTTTATTCATTAAACATCAATTAGAGGATAAATCAAACTGAAAACATAGCGCATAAATGTTGATAATACAATTAACTGAATGCATTCCAGACCTTGGGTTCAAGGAAAGCACACATCCAGTATTAGGCGGCAGAAGGGCTTGAACAAGTGGATTTCAGCATTGTACAATCTTTGTAACAGATTTATCATTGTCAAATCACCATTAAACTAAGGAAATGTGTATCTGCCTCGTTGTAGTCTCAAGCTGTTGATGCTTTTCCTTGCATACATTGACAATGCATGGACATTAAACATATAGCATATAGAAAGCATCACATCCTGCTAACTTTAAAATTGGTACTACACCTAAAAGATGACACCAATGAAATCAAATAGATCCATAATTTCAAGAGAAATTTGATCAGCTTTCACTATTTCAGTATACTTCATTCAAATCTTAGGGTCAGTAGTTGTAGTTGATTAAATGGAAGATCCAAATCAGTTTGTTGCACCTTGAGGAAATCTTGTAACATGGAGGAGTGAGAACTTGATTGTGATTGTAATATCAAATGCTTAAGCCAAATTTATAGCCATGGCCCAAGGACGTGTGAACTTCTATGGTTAAAGTTAATCCTTGATGAACTTAAATCAAGAGTGAATGACCTACTAAACTCTATTGTGCAAGTAATTATGCCATCAATTTTGCCAACAATCCAAACACATCGAAGTAGATAAAAATTTCAAAAAGGAAAAATAGGGCAGGGTCTAAAGCAACACTCCTTACAAATCATCGAGTAATCAACTAGCTGATGTCATAACCAAAGGATTCCTACTTCAGGATTTCAAGATATTACAAGCAAGTTGGGAATGAACAATATCTATTCAGTAGCTTGAGGAGTGTTGAAAATTTTGAAACTAGCATCCAGATTTTCCCTTCCTAAAATAACTAAATCTGGGATGTACGACTCTAAATTATTATTATTTGTTTGCATTTAATTGCTCTCTCTTTAGGGCTCTCCAAGTATAGAATTCTTATATTTTTCCAGATTGATTGATTGATCAAATCCTTTTAAATATAGATCACCTCCATGTATGACTATGTCAAATTATTACTGCATTAAATAACAAATACAATGAATCATCTTTCCATAGTTTTATTTTCTTTAAAAAAAAAGCAGAATAATGTAGAATAAATGATAACAAATATGAACAACGTGATTCTTGCTAGAAACCTATAAGCAAAACTGCTTCTTGAGCAAGATTTTGACAAAAAAATGCATTGAGAAACCAACTGTATTTTTTTTCCATCAAGTCAATTGATCAAACAAATCCAGTACGTCAATTACTCGAACCATGATTGACAAATTTAAACAGGTAATGTTCAACTCAAATAATGACATATTATGAGGATAATTAATATGATTCAAAATTTAAACAACAAAGCCTCCAACATTTCAGACTCCATAAACATAATTCATAACAAGCAAAGAAAAAAAGCAGGAGAAAAATAATTCTTTATACTGGTTTTGCCGTAAAGAATCATTAAAAAAGCATTCCAAGGTGAAAGCCAAACATGAAGCTTATGATTTTTGCAACAATAACATCAATTAGCTAATATTCAAATCTGGATTCACGATCACAGGATAAGCACCCCAATCTTTAAGGTTAAAAGCGTTTTTACCACAAGTCTACAACAGCAAGAAATCCTGATTGACACAATCGGGCAATGCATACCTAACTATAGTCTCAATTACCATTAAAAATTTTTAGATGTGCTTAGGATAATGGTGTGTATGAATCACTCGTCAAACTAAAACGACATTAACGATACGGCAAGCTCCAACGAATATGCAAGCATTCCCAATTCTCAGATGCAAAGGCAAAGTAAAAAAAAAGACCAGCTATTTAAATTAGATAAATAGAAGACCCAGTAATCAAACGATGTCTGGTTTACGGGGGAAAGAGGAACACCTGGAGACGGATAAGCAGCTTGGTAGTAAGACCGTCCTTGGACTTCGCGGCCGACGTGAGGGACGATGTCATCGCTTTGAATTTAGACCTAAGGATGGGGTAAGCTGCCGCTGGGAGTGAAGGGATCTCATCAAGCTCGCTGGTAGGCTTCTGGCGAACATGCCTGGAGAAAACACCAGGCAAAACAAAACCCTAGTTTAGGGACCACAAAAAACTACCCACCATTACAATCTGACCTTAGAGAGAGAGAAAGGGATTGAGGGACCGATTACTTCCAGATGATGGGGATGAACTGTGAGCTTATCCCAGCATTCTCGAATTCGTTTCTCAGAGCTACGGCATCGAAAACGGAGCGAAACGCCATATCGGAGATCGCCAAGATTTCTCCGTAGTGATTATTACGTAATAAGTTCGACTCCGGAGAGATTACTAATTAAGGTATTTTAGAGGGAACTTTTATTACCGGACGTAGATCGGTCATAGGATTGTTACTTCATTTTTGTTAGGTATTTGGTGGGTATTATTTGATAATAACGAAGAATATTATTTTGGGAAGACTAATGCCGATTAATACCGAATTTTTTTCTAGAAAAAACTCGATATTTTTTGGTAATACTCGGTATTGCTCGGTATTACTCGATATTGTCTTCACATAATGATATTTCTCGTTATTATTGGTATTGCTCGGTATTTGCTCGGTATTTCTCATTTTGTGCCTGCGATCTTAGTGCCGGCCGAACGTAGCTCTACGTACGTTCACCGGACCAAATAAAAGTTCCTTTTAGAGGTCAATCAGCAAAAGAATCGTTTGGAGACTAATTAAAATGAGTTATGTCAGTAGTATGAGTCATGGTACCGATTAGTTTTAATTCGTTGTATCAAGCATAGGGTGACGTGATGCATTTTAGTTGGTCTCCGAACGGCTTTCGACATCCGCACAAAATAACTTTTCCAATCAAGGCGATGCACCATGTCATTGGATATACATATGATATAATACATCTTACTTGATCTACGAATGACATCTAGTGACCGCAAGTAATAATTTCAACTCCGTAGTAAAAGATTGAGTTTAATGGGTTGAAATTAGTTATAATTTAGCTCCGGACCAGTCAGTCCAATTCTATTCGATTTGGGGTAAGGATAGCAATAAACTCTAAAATAAAATTTAGCTATTAATCAATATTTTTTGTGAAGAATTCTTATAAAATTACTATAATTTTATTATTTTTTGGGGTTGTTGCATCTAAATTGCTTGACATAATAATATGCTTAAGGTCAGATTAAAATGAACCCACACAACTTAAACAATTTTCATGTCAAATCAGGTCGGGGTTCAAGTTAGGTTGAACAAGGTTTGAGTTGGGATTTTTTAGCCGTTTAATAAATATGTTGGGTTATAGTCAACTATATTCGTTTTGGGTCATTCGGTCCATGGCAAAGTTTCTATCTTTGCCGTCGACTATAATTTCAAGATTAGTGATTTTATATGTTTAATTATTTAGGGTTTCAAATCCATCATATTCCACACTCAACATCCATCACGTAATCATTCTCATTATTCTATTTCATTTGAATACAAAATGAGTATATATACATGAAAAGATTTGAGTAGCTAAAGACTAAAGCTTCATTTGGACGACTTTCTTAGTGTTTCTTAAGATAACTTTTTAATACAAAAAATAAAATATTTGTACTAGAAAGTTGCTTTAAAAAGCAGGAAAAAAAATCATTTCAAACAAAGCCTAAGTTTAGATGATTTGATCACAAAAAAAGTTGACTTTCTAATTTTGTGACTATGCATAAATAGACCTTAAACAAATGTGTATCAAAGTATTCATGTAATGTACTGATTGCTCATATCCCTATTTAGTAAGTGAAAATTTAATGATTATCTTGTAATGGCCTCATGAAATTAAAAATAGAACATAGAGAGCTAAAATAAGATATAACATCCATCGTTGTTTAGTTTGGTTGGTAGGCGAGTACGGTTGGGAACTGCCCAACTCGTGCTTGATTCCCCTCAAGCGGCAGCGCCTCTTAAGCAAGGCCAAATCAAGTGCGGATCTAGGTCAGCTAAGGATTAGTCATACCTCTAAGCACCCTTTCAGAGATGGCAGCGGGTGAATACCTCATTAGTGGGATAAATACTTGATGTTGTCGTTGTTGATCAATACATTTTCTTCTTTTAAATTGATGAGTGTCTAAATATAAGTATTAATAATATTAATTTAAGTTACTAGGTGCAAAAAACATCATGCTATTCTTTACCCTAATTAAAGAAATAAAATAATGTCAGTATATCCCATATGATTAATATTAAGATGAGCTTAATAACTTTTTATTTGATCTATAAGTATAAATTAAAAAATCATTAAGCTTATTTTTAACAAACAGACAATTTTTTAATTAAAATTATGATAAATAACAAAATATTTGGCTCTTCCATTACCAACAGAGGAGCTACCATTTCCTTGAAGTGGTTAGATGCCAGTAACAATATCAACAACAACATCAAGTCTTTGTACCACTATATAGGATCGACTATATTAATCTTTTTTTTTCTCTATTTTGTTTCAGGTTAATATTCAAATTCTTATTTAAATCAAATAAAGAATGTCATTTTTAATATTTTCTAATCAAATCTTTTTAGATCTATCTCTCTCTTAAAGTAGACTAAATCTAATACATCTTCTCTTCTAACCAGGTCATCAGAATGCCGATATTTTATGTGACCAAATCATCTAAGATAATTCTCTCTAAGCTTTTTTTTTCCAGTGGATCTACTCTAACCTTTTGATGTATATACTTATTTCATATTTTATCTCCAAGGCTTCATTTGGGACAGCTTTTTTACTGTTTCTTAAAACAGTTTACTAATACAAAAAATTTAATTTTTATAATAAAAAATTATTTTTAGAAGCAAAAAAAAAAAAAAACTGTCCCAAACGAAACCTAAGAGTAAAGCCACTCATCCATTTAAGCATCCTCATCTCTCTAACACTTAGGCTCGTTTGGGACAATTTTCTTACTGTTTCATAAAATAATTTCCTAATATAAATATTTTAAAACTTATATAAAAAATTACTTTAAAAAGCAGAAAAAAATCATCTCAAATAAATCCTTAACTTGATTGAAACGGTTAGATGTCATCAATTCAGTAATTAATGCATTCCAAGAAATTTCTACAATTTCAACAACTCTTTCTTCTATAACTAAAATACAGTTTCCACATGACTACAGACTGATGCAACTTTCCGAAGTCTCTCTGCAATTTCCAGCTATAGAAATCACAATAATAAAATAGTTAAGTTTCTGAAGGCTTAGTCCACCTTCCCCGCCATTGTTGACGAGCTCAACCACGACCTCGTCATCCCCGCCGACTGCTCATTCTCAGCCGTACGCTTTCCCATCTTCAACGGCTCCTGATCGAAGCCCGACTGATCAAAGTTTTACAAGGTCAAACTCAAAACTCTTCCCCTTCTATTATTAATACCGCCTTAAGTACTCAGATTTCTCTCACAGCTAGCTTATCCATTCTTCCTAAACCTTGAATAGTTTCTATACTCTTTGATTCAGCTAATGGCTTCTAAGGAAATTGAAAGCCAAAGGGAGGGCGCTGAGATCTTCCATGGCGATGAAATTTGCAAGAGCAAGTCGATAGAATTGCTCGAAGAGCTCTGCCTTCCAAAGGGTCTGTTTCCCTTGGAAGACATTGAGGAATTCGGCTATAATCGTACTTCTGGCTTTATATGGCTGATTCAGAAGAAGAAGAAGGAACATGTGTTCAAGCAGATCAAGAGAGCCGTCTCTTACGCTCAGGAGGTGACTGCCTTTGTTGAGAAATATAAGTTGAAGAAGATGACCGGCGTTAAGACAAAGGAGCTCTTGCTATGGCTCTCTGTTGTGGAAGTCTATTTCGAGAATCCAACTTCTGAGAAACTCACCTTCAAAACTGGCACAGGACTCTCTGATAGTTTTATCGCCACTGCTTTTGAGCTGTAGAACTATCTCTATAAGAGAAAACGGTCATTACTGCATAACATTGCGTTATGAGTTATCACATTACATAATCTTAAATCGTTTTTCTTTTTTTGTTTTTCATGTGCGCGCTGCTTTGTATCAAGTTTATATGATTGCTTCTTAATGAAATTTTATTTTGCCTGCTAATCTTTCATAGAATTCTGGAATGTCGTGTTCTCCAAACTGAACTCTTCAATCAGATTAAGTAATTTGGGCCTAGCAATTATATAGGAAGAAATTTTGATGTAAAATGAGAAAAACAGAGAACATCACAATTTTGATATTGCAAGTCTACTTCCATAAGGCTTTTTTGGCGATGAGCAGTAACGACGAGTGAAGCTTCACATATGCATTGTAAGAGCCCAAACTTTCAACCATTGAGATATTGTCCGTTATGATCTAATGGCCTCATAGTTTATGTATTGTTAGTGTGATTTCCCATAAGGTTATTCACCGTAGGAGCGCTCCTATACGAGCACATTTAACTTTGGAGTTTTTAATTAAATTCCAAGCGTTACATGAAAAAGCACTTTAATAATTTAGAGTTTAACTTTATTCAACTTAAGGGGTTTCACAATCTATCCAACTTAAAATAATTGTCATATATTCAGTTTTAGATCTATTCAAACGAAAGCTTTTAGACTTTAAGGTTGACCTCCATAATTCGAGTTTACTTTCAACGCCCTCTCTAGTCTTATCAACAAGAAGAATGCATCAACAAAAAGGATACACCAAAGTATATCCTCTTGCAAAAATCATCCACAAGGCAAATAAGATTCTAGAAGCGATCTCTACAAATTCAAGTGGTGGCTTTCACCATGTAGCATTTTGTCCCATCTAAGATTCAAGAGGTGACTTTGTTCTGTATGACACGTATTTCACTCTTGCGACTGGTTCCTTATTTTGATACCATTTGTAATAACTCAAATTTATAACCATCAAGATTTTATCTGTTTTACAGCTTCATAGTTTTATACCACTATTACCCATATGCTTAACTTTAAAGTTTTAATAAATTTCAACTTTTATATAAAAAGGCACCTCAATAATTAAGAATTTTATTTCATTCAACTTAAGGGGTTTCATTTGCATGCAAAGCATTTAGAATTCTATCAAGTTGCACAAATTTCAAATACATTGAAATAAATTTGGTAGGAAATTTCAAATATCTCAAAAAGTTTCTTCATTTTTTTGTTCAGCAAAACGCCTAAAATTTAACTATGTATTTAATTTACTTCACATTACTAATAAGTATTACAACTATTAGGCAAAACGAATAGACCTTTGTGTTATAGGTAGGGGTGTCAATTTCAGGTCACAGGTCAGATTCGGGTTGAATTCGGAAATGACAGGTTCAAATGGGTCGGCCTTGACCCGGGTAGATAAACGTGCTGGATATCCGAACCCGGATCCGACTTGGCGGGTTGCTAGGTTGACCCGACCCGACACGGGTTGACCCGAAATGGGTGCGAGAGTGACCGCACTGGCGAACACGAGCGGGCGCGCATGCAAGCTCCAGCGGGCATGCAGGGGAGTGTGAGCGGGCGCGCAGGCGGCGGGCGGGGGCGCGGGGGAGCGAGAGAGGGCGCGCAGGCGACCGCCAGAAGAGAGAGAGATTAGATAGATCATTTAAATATGATTATTTCAATACGTGAAGAATAATTAAAATTATAACATATTAGAAGTTACATGATAAATTTTGCTAAAAAGTAAAATATCACAATTATTAGAAATATAAAATAAATAAAATTATTGAAGTTAGAGAGGATAAGAATAGCTTAATCAAAAGTATCATTAAAGTAATAAATAATTGAGTTCCCCTTTTGTTATGGGAGCATCTTTTTCCTTGAAGGTTAGATTATCCGACTCAAATTTGATCCAAAAATTTCGGGTTAAAGTCAATCCATTTGTCAAACGAGTCGGGTTCGGGTTGAAGAAACTGATTAGTTTAAAAAATCAGGTTGGGTTCAGGGTTGGCCTAGAAACCCGAGAATGATCCATTTTGACCCGATTAACGGGATTTGCATAAAATCCAACCCTCTTCTTTACGGCTCACCTTCCGCAGTCCCATTGAAATCGCACTCGCGAGTCAAGCCAACGTCGCCTTCCGCCTCTCCTGCCATCCTGCGGCCCATAGCCCCACTTCGCCGATTTTCCTTTATGTCATGCGGCTTCGACGAGACATTACAAACGAAACTTGCCGCTCTAGCACTCCTCCAGCCCAGCCCGCCGCTACCGGTGTCTTGAAGAACCTAATCGATGTTCCTGAGCTCCGGGAGAAGGTAATCGAGGAAAACGTTGTGATTTGGCAGATGTGGTGGTTTCACGGGCAGTGAAGTTGACATAAGTGGAGGAGAAAGCGGTATTCATTTAGGATTTGTTGGATTAGAAATAAAGATGGGTTGGCGGGTCATGTAGGCTTGACTCGGGTCCGAAGCAGGTCGGGTTTGGGTTAGAGAAAGTCACTTGACTTGTGTCGGGTCAGTTCCGAGTTGGACCCGAACTCGACCCGTGACCCGATTTTGACCGCCCTAAGTTGGATTTCAGCCTCTAAACAATTAACAAATTAAAATAAATAAAATAAAAATAAAAATAAATAAATAATAAAAAATTAACAAGTTCAAAGAAATTTATAAATATTTAACCACTCTTTCTTATTTTACTAAAAAAATAGTTTCCACATGACCTTGAACTGATGCAGCTTTCGTGAGTCCTTCCTCCAATTACCAAGCTATAGAAATCACAATTGTTAAAGGCAGACATCTCCAACCGAACACTAAACGAGTGTATGGAGTCGTTCCATCGCTCCAACCGAATGCTAAAATTTCCGCCATTTAATCGCAGGTGAACGTCGCACTGTTCATTCACGCCATTTTTTGCTCTCAACCGGAAAAACGAGCGAAAGGGAGAGCGATCGTTACCTTCTCAAAAACACCTAAAATGAAGTTCGATTGGAGCATCACCGCGTCATTTTGGAGTTCTGCTTTACTTTGCCGTGAAGAATGAAGTTTTCGGTTGGAGATGCCCTTAGTTCACTTCCCCGCCATTATTGACGAGCTCTACCTTGACCACGTCTCCCACGCCGACTTACGTACGTTATCCCATCTTCAACGGCTCGTGATAGAAGCTTAAATGGTCAATGTTTTACGAGGTCAAACTCTACTCTTCCCCATCCATTATTAAAACCCCCACAGGCAGTCGGATTTCTCTCACAGCTAGCTCATCCATCCTTTCTTGAGCCATAAAGAGTTCCTACATTCCTTAATCAAGCTAATGGCTTCTCAGGCAATCGAAAGCCAACGGGAGGGCGCCGAAATCTTCCACGGCGATGAAATCTGCAGGAAGAAGTCGATCGAACTGCTCTAAGAGCTCTGCCTTCCAAAGGGTCTGTTTCCCTTGGAAGACATTGAGGAATTCGGGTATAACCGCGCTTCTGGCTTCATATGGCTGATCCAAAAGAAGAAGAAAGATCATGTGTTCAAGCAGATCAAGAGAGCCGTGTCTTATGCTGCGGAGGTGACTGCCTTCGTTGAGAAATATAAGCTGAAGAAGATGACTGGTGTTAAGACAAAGGAGCTCCTGTTATGGCTCTCTGTTGTGGAAGTATACTTCGAAAATCCCACATCTGAGAAACTCTGCTGTGGGAGCAACAAAAACAAAGACACAGAGAAAGCAAAGAAACCAATGGAACAGTAAATTGCTTGAGCAATATTTCTATATCATAAAAGCTGCTTCCTCTCTGATAGCTTCATTGCTTCTGCTTTCGAGCTGTAGAGGCAGAGCTGTCTATGTAGGAGAAGACAAGTCATTAATGCATCGCCTTATGATAGTCTGTCTTTATTCTTATTTTTCTTTTTTCATGTGATGCTCTTTATCAGTTATCTATGATTGTAGTTTCGTGCTTCAAAATGAAATATTATTTTGCTTCCTAATCTGGCAAGGACTGTAAAAAATGTCGATTATGCAATTTTTTTATTTTTTTTTGCAAGTTATTCCAACGTCCAAAAGGAGACTTAGAACATATAAAACACTAATAATGACCTGTTTCATTGTCTATTTAGCTAAACAAAATGAAAAGCCGAGGGCAGGTGCTTTAGCAGCCCCAACATATCGACTTACATATCGTCTTCTTCCTGTTTCGCTATTTTCTCATTTACTGCATCACTCATTTTACCTATTCATCTCTCGTTTGATAGTGCTTTATTCATTGTTAAGGGACTTTATAATCATGGTTGGTGCACGACTTCCCAATCTTGATAAGACCAACAGTTTGAAAGATTTGTATTGTCCACACATGTTGGCCATGGGGCTTCATGTACTATTTTTAAGAAAATTTTCTACTTAGAACGTTTAAAAATATACTTTTTTTAATAATTAATTTACAACCACTTTAACAAAAATCTTTAACAGTCCCAAACAAATCTTTTGTTGTAGTCAATATATATGTCCATTTGTAGTCAACATTTTTGTGATTTAAGTGAGGTGGCATAAGCGAGTACTTTAGTTGAATTTAAGTTGGATGGTCGAAATGGAGGAATACATCGGACTTATTGTGTGATAGAAAAGTCCCTCTCCAAAATTAAGGGAAAGTTCCATAAGATGGTAATGAGACATGTAATGATTTTTGGTGTAGAATGTTGACCATTAAAAGAGAAGCATAATATTAAGTTAAGTGTTATCGAGATGAGGATGCTTAGGTGGACGAGTGGCTTTACTCGCAGGGACATGATATGAAATGGGCATATACGTGAAAAGGTTAAAGTAGCTCCAGTGGATGATAAGATTAGAGAGAGTCACCTTAGATGATTTGGTCACATAAAATGGAGGCCTTTCAATGACCCGATTAGGAAAGTAGATGTATTAGACATGACTTATGTTAAGAAAGGTTTATGTAGTCCTAAAAAAACTTGGTTAGAAAATATTAGAAATGACATTTCTTTATTAGATTTAGTTGAGAATTTGACTATTAACTTGTTGTTGTTGTGTATTGTGGGAGATTTTGTGAGTCCCTTAGACCAAGTTATCTAATTATTGACCATCAGGTTAGACTCAACTTTTTTGGAAACTTGAAATTTAGATTTGAACGATGTTGGCTTGGCGAGTTTCAAATTATAGACAATTTAAGTTGTTTCATAATAGATATTATTCTCATCGTTGAT